ATTGGCCAAATATTTATTAATTTTCCCTAGCAACATTTTTCAATTGGTTATTTCGCTGCACTTCTGGGGCGCTTGGGGCTAGCGCCCCAGAAGAGAAACGATACCTTCTGTTGGTGGAAATGCACTGTTGAATGAGAATCAGTTGGTGAAAGTGTTGTTTTAATAATTCATATTACATGTAGCCACATATTATTAGGTAAAAATGACATTGATAATACTTTAAAAATAAATATATATATTATAACTTTCCCCCTCCACATCTAAGGGGGGCAGCGCCCGAGCGCCCCCTATGGGCCAGCCGCCACTGAATAGATCTTCTTTAATGATTGAGAAAGTTTGTCTCACTCATTGCTAAAAAAAATCCATAACACTGACCCACTTTTAGCCTGTGTTAAAACTTCATAATGCCTGCTGACAAGGTTCAGTTGGTTGACATCGAGTCATTCCTCTTAGTCAGGGATGATCATAAAGACAGTCCTTCTCCAGTGGCTGCTATTGTTGTTGCCAGGACATGTTTGAACTACATTCTTCTGGATACATTTGTCCAGATTCTCGTGGATGGCCTGGTATTCATCTGCAGAAGTAGAGTTAGCACTCTGAAGAAAAACCCCCATCTTGTTGAATTTACCTTTAATTTGTCACGGGAAAAAAAACTAAAGGCGAGCACACAACACTCACTCTAACAGGAGGTGCCTCCACAATTCATACAAAAAACAAATGAACAAGCTATTTGATAAGGCTTACATAAAGTGCATCTTTTACTTCTGTACGACAAAATTTGTAGAAAAGAAAAAGTTTTTTTTTTTTAATTTTCACTTGGGTTACTGATTCACTTAATTGTAGGAAAGTAATAGATCTATATTGCATGCAAGGAAGAGGAGTTTTAGAATATTTTGGATCAACGGTCTTAGTGGAATCTCAGAAAACAATACAAAATGTCCTCCAAACTTCCTAATTTTTGCAGAGAAAGTTTTATCTGTTAGGAATAAATTACCCAGTGAAACATTCTTAAAAAGTACAATACATTCCACAAGAATTACAACATTCAACTGGTGTACATTTTGTCCTTTGAAGGATATGGCCTACGTGTAACCCGGGTGTAAATTTTGACTTCCATTTCCCCCATTATCCAGTTTACTGAACTCCTCGTCATTTTACATCTCGCGATACCGCTAATATAATACCAGCAATTCTCGCGAGATTTTTCCACAGCTGTTGGGGTCCGCGTCACGTGTACTATCACCGCCCATTCGGATAGGTATGTTAGTTGGAGCAGGGAAGAGTGAGATTAGGACGCGCTGGGAGGAGCAGAGCTGCAGGAGCCAACTACCACATACCAAGAAGGAGGTGGAAAAAAAAAACCATTGTGTGGCTGGAAACTGTCCACTGTGAAACTGTGGAATCGAAGGATGGCGAGCTAGAACATCTGGAATGAAAGACTGCACTTTGTGCTGGAGGACCTCTGCTTCTCCTGCCTGGTGGTAGGAGGCTCTTGCAGCGAACGAACAATTCTAAATTCCATTGTGATCTGACTTTTTGTCACTACGGACCTGCACCAAGCACGTCAACAACGGTTAATTGGGACCTCTAACCAGCCCCAGCTGGAGTAGATGAACTAAAGGGTGGAGGTTCATTGGAATTGTGGAACAGATGATTTTTGTTTTCTTTAGTTATTGTTTTGTTTTCCCCTTTTCTTTGTGCATTTCTTTTGTTATGGCCGATTGGATTTTGTTGTAAATATGTATATATCTCCACAATATAAATACAAGACACCTGCAAACTGCAAAATTTCTAGCCTGTCTGCTCCTTCATGAGTCGATCCTAGTCTCAGAACTATTAAAACTAACTAATTGATCTTGGTGGTTACTATCCATTCACATTTATTGAGAAAAATAATATATTACCTTTCATTAATATGCTACATACGTCATTCAAAAACAAAATAACACAAATGTACGAAAGCAAAACAAAAGACAAATCGGAACGTTACGTTGCACACCAGATAATACCTCTGACTTATTTTAGCTACATTTAAAAAAGACTAGGACCTTTTTGCCCCTCCTTTTTAAGCAGGTCTGTCTTCTAAATTGACAAAAGTTAAGTTTGATGCATCTATTAAGTGTTTGTGAATGACTGAGATTCTGATGCACTGGAAGACACATTGAGGCCACTTGAAGAACCTGCAACAGCAACAAAAACAAATATTTAGTCGCTGATTGGAAAAATAATCAGCTCATGCAATCTTAGTTAATGAGGCAATAAATGAAAAAGTAAGCCTGTTAAAAAGACGCTAGAAGTTGATTTTGGTTTGTTTAAAGAACACAATGTAACATATTGCATATCATTGAAATGTTGAAATTTAGTCTCAGATTGTTTATGTCTGATTTACCTCGTCCTCGTCGCCAATTCCTAAAAATTCTCAGGTTACTAAATGAAAATCCAGCGCTGGTGCTCTGAAACAAAATCAAAAGAAAAAATAAATACCAACCTTATAAAACAAAAAAAATAAAATAAATGGCGTTGAATAAAAGGGATTGAGAAAACTGTCCTTACCGTTGTCCTACCCTGGGA